TAAGTTAGTCTGCCAAAAATTCCTTTTGAGAAATAGCATTTTTAAAAATTGTGTAACAAACGCATGCTTACTGTAAAAGACATTGGGAAATGTCTAAAGTAAGTAAAAATTAAGTAAAAATCATTCATGATTCTACTACCCCTAACCATTGTTAATGCGGACACTTTTTTTTACAATTTATTTCTGTTCCTGTCCTGAATTTTTTGTTCTGTCCTGAGTTTTCTCACCTAACACAGTTCAAACAGTCTCCTATAGCAGAAGAGCTTCCTTAAACACAGTATCGTATTAGAAATACATGCCCCAATGCCAGTTTTCCTGATGTTGAACAGGTCAGTTGCTTCTACTTTTTTCTATACTAAGTTCCTTGTTTTTGGACAAGAGCCCCAGTTACACTGTCCACTCTTCCGAGCACTTCAGGGACAAGCTCATTTAATCCTTATAATACCACAAGGACATCAATATATACTTATATCCCTGTTTTAAAGATGAAGGAATCACAGAAAGATTAAGCACTTGGGGAAAAAAAACTAATGATGTAGCAGAGGTTTCCCCCCAAAGCTTTGTGCCCTTAGGAAAACTGGGTCCCCAACTGTAAATATCAAGGCTATAGATACACATTAGTAAAATTATTTCAGAAAATAAAAGTGTGGCTTTTCTTGCATTCCCACAAAGATTCAATGTTCAGGGGGAAAATGAGTTTAAGTATGACTTAATGAGCCATTGGTGTTTTCTCTGGGCTTTGTGAAAGAAAAGCGGATGTCCTGAGAAGGAACGGCCACCAAATTATGACCCCAGTCCCTTCATGCAGGGAGTAAAATCCCCGTGTAAGTTCAGCTGTAGGATGCATCCCTGTGCTACTTTGCTGCTATGGACTCTGCTTTGACTGTTAGCAAGCTCAGCATCTTACCTACTAGCTTCCTCCTTACCTAACTGAATGTTTAGCAAACACAAAATGGCAGTTGTCAATTCTTTGGCAGAAGTAAAACCTGTACATCCTTGGGTAAGACTAACACTGAAAGGTCTTTCTAGTCCTGTATCCTTTGGTTCACAATGTCCTTATTGCTGCCTTTTCATAAAACACTGAATGGTTAGGAAGGAGACCTCTAGGACAGAGGGCTCTCTATTCTTACAAGAACAATGTCTCTGGGAATCTTGTTTTATACCATATGGTCTAAACCAGACTACAGTGTGGCATGCTAACATTCTAAAGTCATTAGACTCATGCATCTCCTTACCTGACAGTTCTGCTGAGTGTGTGGAATGAGTTCATTGTGACTTAATAACCCCTGGGGGAAGGCTTCTTATGTTTCCAAAGGCTTATCAAATCCTTTCCAGAGAAAGCTGGCAAAGAATAACGAAGATGTAAAACAACAGGATGCATTTTGAAAGCTGGGACAGTAGTGTGGAGGGGTATTGCGGTCATGTCATATAAATGGTGGGTCATTGCAGGTAGCAGTTTAAAGTTCCTGAATGAACTTCAGACTAGGAGGTGGTGGGTAGAAATACTTGAAATGGTCCCTGTTTTTGTAGTCTGTCTCTCTGTCTCTCTGTCTCTGTCTCTGTCTCTCTCTCCTCTTTCTCTCTCTCGCACTTGCTCTTGCTCTCGCTCTCATTCTCTCTCTCGCTCTTTCTCTTGTCCCAAGTTGAAACTGGGTATGTGTCTATAGCTACCAAAAAGAAAACAGAATAGGGACTTTGGAATTGAATGTGATGATTTCACAATTGTTCCTTATTTTTCCCCCTTGGGAATGTACTGTTTTGACATAAAAACAAATCTATTTGTGTTTGCAAAGGATTAGCCATGGATCCTGCTTCTGGAGGAAAACTCAGACAAGGATTTAGTAAATCTTCTACAAAAGATTAACTTCTAAAGGCCAGGTAAGAACAAAGCCATTATATCTAGGTGTGGCTGGTCATGTAATAATGTGCATATCCAGTTCGTGAACCTCTGAGAGAAGGGGCCCAGAATAGCAAGCCCTAAGTTGGACTGACAAAGTATTCTCTTCAAACTGTTGGCTAAGCGTATGGTTTGAAAGGATACCTAGAGGTTTTTTCTTTTGTATGTGTGTATATGTATGAACGTGTGCATGCAGGTGTATGTGTGTGTGGTGTACGTATAAAATGTTGTGGTCAAAGGACAACCTTAGGTGTCATTCCTCAGGCACCATTCACCTTTGTTTTATTTTTATTTTTTTGAGAAGTGTCTCTCACTGGCATGGAACTCACCAAGTAGACTAGGCTGGCTGCCTAGTGAGTTCCCAAGACCCATCTGTCTCTGCCTCCCCAGCCCTGAGATTACAAGTGCTTATCACCATACCTGGGCTTAATGAGGGTCAAACTCATGTATTCTTGCTTACAAGGCAAGCACTTTATTGTCTGAGCTATTTCTCAATTCTTGTTTATGATTCTTTTTCTTCTTCTTCTTCTTTTTGAGACAGTCTTACTATGTAGCCAGGTTGGCCTTGAACTCATAGAGATGTGTCTGTCTCTGTCTTCTGAGTGCTGGGATTAAAAACACCACCACACCAGGCATGTTTGTGATTCTTGGCTGAATAGGAAAGGGAATGGCTCTTCCCTTCTGACCTGGCAGCTTTTCTCCCTTTTTTAAATGCATTCCTACCCCTCAACAAGCATCTTGTATTCATGTCTGTCGACTTTACACCTCCATCTTTGACGGTTCTTCTGGATGTGCAGGAGTCCATTGTGACCTAACAGCCTGAGAGACAAGGTGTCTTATGGGATGAAGGCTGGCACAGAAGCTAAGCACTGACATTCCCTGAGGACTTTAAATTGTAAAGAAATCTAATCTGAAGCCTAAGTTACCTACATTGTCAACATGGAGAGGTTGTAAAGCTCATGCTCTTTCTTTTTGCCTTCAGACTGGCTCCCTGAAGCTCAACAGTCTGGATGGCCAGTCACCCAGGAATACTACCTATGGAAGGATGGAGATGACTGTTTTCTTGAGGCATTGTTTAGGGCAAGTGATATTAACTTTCAACTTTGTACCTTATTTACTGCTTTGACACTTTTCAAGTCATTAAATTCATCAGCTTATATCATAATGTCTGATTTAAAGATTACTAGAAGTGTTTTTTTTTTAAATTGTCCTTAAGGCATTTAAGGATGACAATGTAGTTTTGATATATGAATCTTTTCATGAATTAGTCTTTGGAATGCAGTTATTTATTACGAACATTGTTTTTTTTTAACTTTTAAAAAAATTTATTATTTTTATTTTATGTGTATGCGTGTATTGCCTGCATGTAGGTAAATGCACCTGTGTCACACAATGCCCACGGAGGTCAGAAGAGGCTGTCGGATCCCCTGGGACTGGAGTTATAGATAGTTGTTAGCTGCCATGTGGGCATGTGGGTGCTGGGATTTGAATCCAGGTCTTCTGCAAGAACAACTAGTGTTCTTAACCACTGAGCCATCTCTCCAGCTCCTGAACATTGGTTTTTAACCCACTTCATTCTATATTAAAAAACTACACAATCTGAATTTTGATATTTGCATCTAATAAACCACAATAACTATTCCAACTTCAAATATTCTATTCATGTAGAATTATCTCAGATAGTCCAGTCCATATATATATATATATATATATATAATTTTTTTAAAGAAAAAAAATCTTACTATTTTCCCTAGCTGGTGTAGACCAGGCTGGCCTCAGACTCACAGAGATCTGTGTGCCTCTGCCTCCAGAGTGCTGGGATTAAAGGCAGGGGCCACCACACCCAGCCCCAGACTATCTTTTGGGGACTAGAAGGAAAAGGTTGCAGAAACCTTTCAGTTCTGTGGAAGAAGGTTCTAGGGGCTTTGTGCTGCTCATCTATCATGATCAAACCCACAGCCACCTATTCATTTCTTTACCATTGGTTTGTTTACAGTTGTATTGGGAGGTGAGAGAGTTCCTTTTCTTTATAGTCTTAAGGGCCAAGAAACATCTGTCATCATTTACATTTAGCTGGTGTTCTTTTTAGTCCAAGAACTGTTCTTAAATTATGGATTTTAATTAGGAAAATTGAGGCATGTTCCCTGCCAAAATTTCAGCAAGAGAATTCCAAGCTACTCCCACTATACAGATAGGTGCAGCACATACCTGTAACTCTAATGACATTACCATGGGGACCAAATGCCATTGCTTCATGTTCAGGAAAATCAGGTATATTTTCTGGAACTGACCAAAGACCATGGTAAGCTCTGTAAAGGTATTTATGAAAGCTTCTCTACCCAGATTTTGGGCAAAGTTAAGCTGTCTCCCATTGTTTGAGGAGATTGCCTCCCCACCTAGAGGAAGGAAGGGTTATGGGAGTTTAGATGAGAGCAGTGAGTTCCTTCCAGTGAAGTAGTCTATCTCACTGCCTCACTGTCCCCTCTGGTTCAACTGCAGTTTAAAGACCCTGACAGCTGATACCATCATGTAAGCTTCCCTCTATCACCACCACTTGCTTAAACCCAGTCCCACTTAGCTAACTCTCCTCCGTGGTAACTGGGTTTCTCGCTGTGGGCTTCCTAACACAGGCATCTTGGAAAAGCAAATGAACTTAGGGCTTCCCTTTCCCTCCCCACCTCCTCCCATTTAGAGCGAAAAGAAAACAGCTGTCATATGTAAAGGTTAGAATAATTTCTAAAATCAACAAGGAATAAGCAAATTTTGTAAGTGGTACTAGAAATCAATAGCAAACCCTATTGTAAAACTAGATCATGGTAGTCCAGGAGAGACTTAACTCTGGTAGCTAGACCTATACATCAGCAATGAATTATGTAACAGGATTCTTCAGCACTGAGAATTCAATCAAAGTATATAAGCTTCTATTTTAAATCAAAATTTTACTCAAAGTTCAGATGGGTGCTGAAAAGTAGTTTCTGAGTGGGTAGTAATAACCAAGAGGGGTCATGAGGAGTCAATCAGGGAGCTGGGGATGTATTCTATCTCAATCTGAGTGTAGCACATGTTGATGCCAGTGTAACGAAATTAAAAAACAAGCCTAGGATGCAATACATGTAATGTTTATTATATGTAAGATATATATGTTTAGGGGAAACAAAGTCTCTAAAACAAAGCACAAAGACTTTTCTAAAGGTTAGGTTATACATTTTTTTGTTTGGGTTTTTTTAGGTTATACATTTTTAAAGATGATTAATACGGTACTAAATTCAAGAGAGAGATTACAAATACAGTTACATTGCAAATGTAATCTTCTTAGACTAAAAACTAACAATGACTTAAACTGATGACCTACAAATACACTTTTCTATTGGTGATTAAAAACAATACTTAGAAACTTAAGCAGCGTGCATAGTACTTTAAGCTAGGCAAAGAAAATTCTTATTTAGTATATATTTTTAATTCCAGTACAGTTAAGTTCCTGCTAAAATATAATCAATATTATAGTCAGCAAAATGCTTTGACTTGACACCACGATTACTTTACCACTTGATTACACAGTGATTTTTTTTCTACCAGATATAACTGACAGTTATCAGTTTTGTCTTTAAAATAAATGAAATGATAACTCACATTGCAGTGTCCTATGTAAAATATTAAAACTACATTAAAAATGCATTTTTAAACTGAAGAAGTCTACTACTCCACAAGTAAATGACTTTATAAAGCTACAAAGTAGGCTATGACAATAGAACCTAAACTACATCCAACCCCAAAGGTAGAAAGGTCCCTGTAAGGAACTACACAAGTCTAGTTATAACACGAAATACAAAGGTTGCACTTTTCTTTCAAAACATTCTTCCAAGTTTTGGAGAAATCCAAACATTCCAATAGCTCCCTTACCAAGCAGTGCAACATAAAGTCACCTACTTAACATTACTACAATAATGGATTACAAGTTACCTAGTTAGCATTACTACCATAAGGGATTACAATTAAATTCAACACAATAAAACATTTACAAAATAGCAGCTGTCGTTTTGGATCTTGGTTGTTATAACATGTTAGCAACATGATAACAACATAATAACATGATAATAACATAACATGATAATAATATGATAATATTTGCAGTTCGATTACACAACACACATACTTGCAGTTCGATTACACAACACAAGATACTTGCAGTTCAGTTACACAACACACGCTCACTAAATTTGGTACAAAGCATGAATACTAAGGACATATATTGGCACAATGCATGCAGTTGGAGAATTCTTTCTCAAGTCAGTCATCACTAATAATCTACGGTCCTACTCCTATTTCTTAAATCATTCCCCTCAAACTACAACTGATGTTTAAAACCCCTCTTAAAACCATCATTCCCCTCAAATTACAACTGATGTTCAAAACACTTAAAACCATCATTCCCCTCAAACTACAACTGATGTTTGAAACACTCCTTAAAACCATCATTCCCCTCAAACTACAACTGATGCTTGAAACACTTCTTAAAACGTCTTCCAGAAAAGGAAAAACATGCTCTTAAAAGCCATTTATCTGAATGCATGATGGAAGTGCGGCAGGATGGCCGTGTTGGTGCCAGCTGTGAAAACATGAGGAATGGGGGGCAAAGGGAGCTGGCCCAGGCTCACAGTGCCCACAGCTACTGGGGCTTCTTGTGGTTGCGGCTGAGGCTGCAGCTGCAGCTGCACTTGCAGCTGTGGCTGCGGCAGAGGCTGCGGCTGCGGCAGTGGTTGTGGTTGCGGCAGCGGCAGCAGCTGCGGCAGCGGTGGTGGCGGCGGCAGCTGCGGTGGGGGTGGCAGCTGCTGCAGCTGCTGCGGTGGCTGC